ATTTTTGTCTTATAACCGCATTCTTTGGGAAAACAGTAAAATGTACATTCAAAGAAAGTTACCATGGAAACATAATATAAACACTTACTACACTGCGTATTATAAAAAATTATTCATATTATTAACAACAAAAAGGTAATTTTGCTTTTTCCCTCTGAGTATCTCATAGCTGATGAGATTAATTTAACAAGAGGTGATAACTGTATCAGGGCCAAACAGAGCCTGTGAATCAGGTATCCTTAGGTTCCAAGCCCAGTTCTGTGCTAGCAACTTCTACAAGGCTATGCAAACACTTGACGGTGTTTGAAAATGAAGGACTCATTGAAAACACTAACCATGTGGTGTTGGCTTCCTCTAGTCCTGGGACATAGTGAAGTGACCGCAATGTGAGTCTGAGAGGATCTCCCTTACAAAGTCAGGATTTGTGTGATTTTTTTTAATGTTTTCAATAATTTTAGAGCCCTGTTAAAATGTCTGCTCATAATTAACTTAATTAATTATACTACTTGGAATGAAAAGCCTCAAACTTCCTTTTTGGGGTTGGGTAGATTTCTCATCAATGTAACGGCCGATTCCCATCATAACTCAGCATAGCTCCTCTTCTGGGCCATTCGTTTCAACCACTTGCCCCACCCCGAAAAATCTTTATTTAAAAATACAAATATCTTTGAAGAGGGTTGTGAGTGTCACTGTATTAATGGTGATTATTAGGAAGGTGAGAACACAACTCTAGGCTATTCTATCGGCGTCCTTCCAGAAGCACTCATATGGAGAAGTTTACGTCTTGGAAAACTACCAGTGTCCCCTCAGCTTCATTGCCGAGGGAGCCAACAGAAACCAGCATGCTGCTTTTCCCACAAAAGCTCCTTCCAGCCTTGCAGCTGTCTACCACACAGATGTTTCACATCCCTGTCCTTATGGCATTTTATGTTCTATGGACTATCTTCTCCATGCTTCTGTTGGGAGACATCTGGCAGATTTTTCTAATAAAATATAAAAACCCAATTACCAGTGTGATAGTCGATTTAATTCATACCCATTAGCCTACATTATAAGGAAATGACTAACTTCAAATTAGTTCTTCTAGTTTAAATGTTTTATACATAAATAACTGTAAATATTGGAATCACAAATAAAGTGGATTCTCAGTAAGTTGATTCTATGTAATAGCTGGGGGGAAAGTAAAGATTGAAACAGTGAGATTAAAATGCAAAACTTTTAAAATAGCTTTATAAGTGAGTGAATGCTAACATATTCAAATTCAATAAACAGAAAACATTTTAAAAATATCAATAAGGGAAGAATAAGTTTTGGTGCCTATACTCAGATTATGATCTAGGTCATACAAAAAATAAACTGACCAAGGGTTAGAAGGACAGGCCAAATTTAAAAGTAAACAAATATGGCCCTGGCTGGTTGGAGAGTCTGCAAGTGGGCCGAAGGGTTACAGGTTCAATACCTGGTCAAGAGCACATACCTGAGTTGCAGGCTCAATCCCAGGTCCCCAGTCGGGGTACATATGAGAGGCGACCAATCTATGCTTCTCTCACATCGATGTTTTTTTCTCTCTCTCTCCCACTCCTCCCTTCCCCTCTGTTCTCTCTAAAAAGGTCAATGAAAAAAAATACCCTTGGGTGAGGATTTATAAAAATAAAAGTAAACAAATATGGATGAAATAGCATATCAAGTGGTGGGTACTTATTTAGCCTTCTTTAGGCCACTATTTTAAGTTCCATAATTAATCAAATAGAGAGATATAAAAAAAAAGGAGGGCTCAAAGCAAGATCAGATAGATGATTAAAGGCTTAGGCATTGAAATTTCAAAACAAGGAAATTATTTCAGTTAAGGAAGACATTGAGGGACAACTGAACCACTGTGTTCAATAAGAGAAACAGCTGTTATTTAGATTTTGGTCTCTAACTTAAAATGGAAAAATGGGCTCCAATTCTAATCCAATGGATTTATATAATTAGAAAAACTATCTGGGTGACAGTAATAAGGTATTAGAATGGGTTATCTAGGAAACATGTTCTACTACCTGTCTTGAGATCATTAATAACATCAAATGAGAGATTACCATGAGTCTTGAATGCTTTTAATTCACTTAAGTTTGGGGATATATTGGGTGATCTTTCAAAGCCCTGTATAACCCTCTAACTTTCACAGAACTCACTTAACTCTCTGAGGTCAGAGAAAAATCAAAAGTGCACAGTTTAGTTTAATTAATTTACTTGTTTTTAAAATTTATTTGACAAGAATAGATTCTAACTATACTTATCACCAGCCATTATTAATGTTTATTCAATGATTTTTAAAGAAAAAGGGAATTATAGCAAAGTAAGATTGAGTACTATTCATTCACCAGGAAATAACTATAAAAACACTTTCTACATTTGGTAAAAGCAAACAAGAAAAATATGGTGATATTTCTACATTTCTCTACTTTACCAACCAATTGTACATTTCTGAAATCACTTTTGGAACTGTCACTAGGGCCACAACTCCTACAAAATTTACCCTACAGAATTTAGTCACTACTCAATTATGTGGGAAAAGTGTATGACAGTCAAGTCATTTGAGAATATTTTTCAAATTATTATATACGTGTGTGTGTGTGTGTGTGTGTGTGTGTGTGTGTGTGTACACATCTATATACAGAGTGGGGCAAAAATAGGTTCATATGGAAAATAATACAATGATTAATAAATAATAATACAAGAATAAACTATGTTCAAGTGTTCACAACTGTAAACCTACTTTTGCTATACCATGTACATTAGAAGAATTTTTGAAAAATAAATCAGCAATTTGGGGAAGCTGTTGGCATTTCATAAAATGCCATAAAAGGTTTTTATGTTATGACTCAACATTCTAAGCTTTTTATACTGAATAAATTTTGAATATGATAGGTTCTTAAAGGTAGAGAAGAAATAAAGAAGAATCTAGCCTAGCCGTGGGCAAACTACCGCCCGCAGGCTGGATCCGGCCCGTTTGAAATGAATAAAACTATTGAAAAAAAGACCATACCCTTTTATGTAATGATGTTTACTTTGAATTTATATTAGTTCATATGAACACTCCATCCATGCTTTTGTTCCGGCCCTCCGGTCCACTTTAAGAGCCCATTGTGGCCCTCGAGTCAAAAAGTTTGCCCACCCCTGATAGCCTTTACTTTAGGTGGGACAAAACCCAAAATTTGAACCATTATATTTGCAAGTTATATATTTCCAAGTTATATATATATATTCAATTGAATTATAAAGAAAATAATAGACCTAAACTTTCCAATTTTTCAAAGATTTTCAGGTAGAGTTTTAGTAGGTGGTGTTTATATTTGAATCCAAGTAGCTTGTTATTTCATACATTCATGTGAATTCCTCATTTAAACAAATAATTTAAAACACATAGGATGGATTATTTGTGTCTACAGACAGGCTCTGGTTTAAATTTTACCTTCAGGGAGAAAAAATGTTTAAAAGTTTTCTAGTGCCACAAGAAATATATGTAATCAAGGAATGTAGTGAAGTTGAAATTCTACTC